ATGCATAGGTAAGAATGACACAGGCAGATGAGGGGCCCAGAAAATGAACTTCACAGGAGCATTCTGAATGGATGCCAAAGATGACAGATTACATTGTCCAGACTGAGGGAGAATATTGCAGTAATTGAGATGCATGGTGATACAAGCCTGGGTGACAGTCCTAGCAATCTGGAAGAATCTGTCTTTTAGGGAGTGAAACTTTAGAAAGACTCTGCTTACACAGAACCTTGATGAAAAGATCAAGAGGGACACACATGGGGTAATCACAGAAGGGAGAGGATGTGAGAGAATTGAGACCTGGCAGTAGATTTGGAAATTTGTGCTGCTGACTAACTGAGCTGATTATATTTGACTTGGTATTGAAGAATGGGAGAAAAAAATGCTGTTAATCAGTGTGTACAAATCAAAGCAATGTAGATGCAGATGCTTGGTAAGTTAGTGTCTGTGGACATGCAAATAGAAACATGGACTCCAGGAGGAGAAGTAATGGGAGAGGGAAGATGTCAGTAAATTTTGCAAGCAGTTACTTTGGGTAAGACGTATACTGGTTGGCCTGACTGGGTCTTTCTGTTGACCTGTTTTCCTCTGTACATTCCTGTTGTTTATGAGCCAAGTTCTGGGAAACAATATTCCAGATAAACTGTCTCCTTATCATATAAGCTATTTAGATATGCGGCAGCCATGGATGCTGGCATTTAAAACTTAGCCCTGCAGACCGAAATCTTCCCTGCTTAAGATTCCTGCAGCTTCTGTTTCTCCCTCCAAGTAATATGTCTTTGACATAGGATCAGTTCAAATATTTTTCTTGTTTTGTCCTTTTGCCAGTGCAGGCCTGCTTTCTTGGCTGTTTTCCCCTGAGTTTCCTTCCTGAAACAACCCTATTTCCCTCCCTCGCCCTTTAACTACTGTGTGGAGTAAAGGCAGCATGCACGGTGGCTGCTTTTCTGGCCATGCATGCACTGGCTGGGTGGCTGTATATGCGGTCTGGGTAATGACAAGCCAAACAGAGCAGAACCAGGCCTGCTCTTGTAGGTGTTAGTGTCTTTGTCCTTTCTCTGGTCAGTGCAGTATTCATCCCTGCAGATTTTCCCCTAACACTAATCTTCCCTTTCTGTGAAGTGCTGAGTCCCACTTTCCATGTCTGAGCAGAGTCCTAAATGTTCTCAACAATGAAGTATTGTCAGATGCCCAAATTTCTCTGCTATATACATCTTAGTTGTTCAGAATTATAATTGAAAGTTTATTGAATATTTATTGAATGAGACAGTATAATTCCAGAGGTTAATTTTATAGTTAGAATTCACAACTTTGTTATGTGATTTCTGTCTTCTCTTTGGATTCAGTATTTGGCTAAACTGACATTCTCTCTTTCTCTGACTGGTGCCACACACATGCCACAGAGTCCTTTAACAGTCTTTTACCTTTCTCATTGGCTATTATTCCTGGCACCTGGCACCATTATTTCACTTACTTTACACTGAATGATGTTACTAATTTTTTTTTTTTTTCCTGAATGATACAGTTAATATGTCAGACCCTAATTTTCTATTTTTATACACCTACAAGCTGGCTACATTTGCCTTAATGTTTGCTCATTGTGAAGACCTGAGACTAAAAAAAGGTGGCATATCTGGACTATTCTGCAATCAAGACTGATACCATTTCTGGAAAATGTTGGTGTTGAGGTTGTGATATAATGCTTTTAGGAACCTAATTTTAAACTCGTATTTTCTAAAAATACCACTTTACATTTTCATACTGGTTCTTTAAGTTGCAGAAATCAGTATTCATTTTACAGAAAATAACAGTCCTTTCTCAATGCCGTAACTATCCCTTCTCGAGACCTGTTTTTTGTACATATTCATATATATGTTCTTAAGCTTACTACTGGTGCTATAATGACTAAAGAATATTGCAAGATAGGAGTCAAGAGCTCAGAGTATTCTGATGTTTTCCAGGCTGTGTGTCCTAAGTTAAAAACAATATTCTCTAAGTTTTCTTGTAAAATCTATGGCCACTATTTCTGTCTTCTTTGCATCACTTCTGCAGTTTTCACCTTTTAAGTTCAGTGCAACTACATGACCTTATTTAGAAGGTTTCAAATTCTTTTAGCTTTGGCTTAGGCACCTGAAGAATGAAGATTATTATGAAATGCAATTAAAATATCTAACTGATACTCTTACATGAGCAAGGTTATATGCATAAAATACCGTAATATGCCTTTTTTAAGATAGGTGCAGTTTTGGGGATTACCAGTGTACTAGGCATTACCTCTTCCTTTTAGTTTAATGTCAATGGGGTTTGAATGTGTAATGGAAGAAAATGGGTAACAGAAGAAAATTTAATTGCCCAGAAGCTTTCCCTCTCCGTGGTGCCACCCAGCCTGGTAGACTTTCTCCTTAAGCTCTGGCTGTGCGTGGACTTACTTGCTGGAACACAAGTGTGTCTCACTCCAGTATGAAGGCAAGACAAAGCTGAGCACCTATTTTTTTTGAGCACTCAGGAGTGTTCTTGGGTTAAGTTAAAAAAAAAAAAGGACCACAAAAGATTCCTTAGATTTTCCCTGCAGATCTGGTGTATCACCACCCAAGAGCTACAGGATATTTTAAGACTTCCCATTACTTTAAGCATAGCCTTTCTGTAGCCTTGTGGAGGATTTACACTTTCTGTCTTTAGGGGGATGTGCAAATGAAGCAGACATGCAGGCTCCAGAAGTGTTATTCTTTAATTTGTAAACATGCAGACCTGCACAAAGCACTAAAACATCTGTGCATGGTCCCCTGCTTTAGGCAATTTGTCACCCAAGAATCCTCTACAGAGCCTAGGACTTCAGCTTCTGTATATAATTTCTTCTTCAGGAATACCATGTATGTATATATTTCCTTCTCTTTTTCTCTTTTGTCTCTCTTCTTCCACTGTAATCTGAAAAGCACACAATTGTTTCTAAGTGTCCCGCTCTATTTCTCTCAAGCTGCTTGGGAGCCATAGAGCCTATGTTCAATTTGCAGGTCCTGAGAGTGATTCCCAAGGTGTTAGTTTGTGTGTGAACCCTGGCCTTATCTTGACTTTTTTTTAGGCATTCCCAGAAGGGTGTCTTCCTTTGAGGCTCCCTTCTCCATACTGGGGAGCAAGCCCAGACGTAGTGGCTGGACAGGAACCATGGCTTAGAGCATGCCC